ATCTATCTACCTATCTAGCTAGCTAGCTATCATTCTTTGGTATATACTTCATGTAGCCATAAGAGAGTTTTTTGTTTGTTTGGTTTTTTAACCATTAAAATTGAATTCTAGAAATGACCAGGTGGTTGAGTTAGTTGGAGCATCATCCTATACACCAAAAGGTTGCAAGTTCAATTCCTGTCAAGGCATATATCTAGGTTGCAGATAGGCATATCCTATCTCTTTCTCTTTCCTCCTTTCCTCTCTAAAATCAATAAAAATATCCTCGGGTGAGGATTAAAGAAAAAAAATGATTGAATTCTGGATACAGGCAAGCAAAACATGGCAGTCCCATTTTCATTCTCTCTACTTAATTTTCTTCTTGGTGCAAAATAAAAGTTCTAGAAGCCACTATATGAAACAGTGAATTTTTTAATAGCCTATGATAATATTTAAATCAAGCTTCTTTAAAAAATTGATATATTCATCACTTATTACAACAAAGAATTTACTTAATTGCTTTAAATCTTATCGCTACAAATACAAATATGATTTTTCCCTTTCTTTCCTCCTTTCTGTCTCTCCCTTTCTTTTTCTTTCAGTTATCACATGATTTACTCTTGCATGTTTTAGAGAGTGTTTTAGTGTCTTTAAGTATGTGTACTTTAAATACATTTATTCTAAAAAAAACATGTAAAAGAGTAGAAAAGGGCAAAAATATATATCATATCTTAAATGTTTTTTTTTCATATTTTCTAATGGAATCTTCTTAAACACAGAATATAAAGATTTAAGCCAATCAAATCAATCCATTTGTGTGTGTTTGTCTTGGTTGTGTAATCTTTTATTGCTTCTATGTTCAGATCTCCTTCCTCATCTAGTAATAACTATTTCTATATATTTACTAGTACATCTTAGGGTTTCCATTTAAATGTTTTAATTTTTTATGTAACTGAAATTTAAGTTGCTGAATGGTCTGAAGAAGATTCTAATTTTTTCCCCAAACACATTTTTATTTTTTCATTTAAAGCTATGTTTGGGATGATCCTTTTTGATCACAGATTTATGTTGCTAACTTCATCATATATATATTTGGTTATGGTTGCTAAAGCTTTATTTCAAAGCTTTTTTCACCCATAGATTTGCTTGTCAATAATTAGACAAGTACCACTTCTTTCTAATTGCAATTTTATGGTACATTTTCAAATCAGGTCAAGCAAATATCTTACATTGCACTTTGTTTATAGTTGTGTTTCTCTTATCTTCACCAAATTGATTTCCTCAGATGAATTTTAGAATCATGCATCAAGTTCCAAAAATGTATGAATGGCTAATGCTTGGAATCATTATATCTACTCATTTTAGGACAAAATAAAAAGGTTTGTGACTTAAAGAAATTTGTATGCCTCTTGCTTTAATCAAGTCTTCTTTTATGTCTTTGTAAAGTTTTGCACTTTTTTTTTTTTTACATATTTGGTTTGCCCTTACCTAGAGAGAGGTATTAAAGACAAATAGAATCGTTCTTACCTGTTGATTATCCTTTGCATTTTTAACAATTTTAAATCGATACATAGATGTTCTACTATCTTGGACAGATATTTTATTGTAGATTCTACTTTTAATTCACAAGAAATGTCATTTTTTATTTTGCTTAGTGTTTTTCCATCTTCAGTATAATTTTGGCTGATATCATTTTATTCCAACTTTTTTTCTACTGTTTGCCTGATAAATCTTTGCACTTCTTTGAAGAAATGTCATTTTGATTTAAATAGTTCCCTTTCATTTATCATGTTATTGGATTTTATTTTTAAGCACATCCTGAAGGCATTTGTCTTTGAATAGGAAAGTTTAACAATGTATTGTCAGGATAATGTGGTTGTAATTTGGTCACCTTATTTTTTGCTTTCCATTATTTTCTTTATGGATCAAATATTACATACATCCTCTCTCTATGAAGAGATATGTTTGGGTATCATTCATTTATATTACCTAATTACCAAATTAAGAAATGAAATGATGTCCTTTGATAACTCCAAATATAAGAAATTTCTATCCTACAGTTACGATTTTGTTGATAAACCAAAGCATCTTCCATGTTTTACTGTTTGCATTTCTGCCAATATCATTTGAGCTCATTCATGTCACAAAAGTCTGTGTATGGCAGGACAGACTATGCTTTATGCTGAGATACCTTTGGTCAATTTTCTTGATAGATCTAGCACCCCCACCTTTGCATTAATAATTTTTGCTTTTCTTTCATTTAAAAAACCAATGAGATTAGCAAATTGTGGGTGTTGTTTATTATTCCTAAGTCATGTAAAGACCTCTTCTAAAGGCAGATTAAATAAGGAGCAAAAATTAGGAACGATTTTTGTCCATTTTTGCATGAAAGCTCTGATTCAAAAATTTTGCTTGTAGTTGGAATGCTAGAGAAAGTGCCTATTGAGTGCTTTCCAAATTGAGTATTTTAATTAATATTCAACATTATGCCAGCTCATCATTTATATCTGTACCACGAGCGAGCACAAAATAGTTCATCTTTTTAAGCAGGTGCCTGATCAATCTCACAAAACCAGATGTGTTTTGAACTAAACTCTCTTTGCTGTCAAAATTTTTAAACTGCTCAGTTTATTGATAAAAGAAAAATCTCATCAGCAAAGGGCTAAAAACATAAGGTGGTGACTTAGAAAGTTGTTTGGCATTGAATATACAGAGAACAATGGAAAAACTTTTGACTGTTTTTATCTGTGTCCTGAACTTCAGTCTCCTTGCTGACTATTTCAAATCAATGCGAGCCTTTTCAAAGAAACATTAACTCATCAGTGAATTGGGCCAGATCTGAAGATGACTTCTTTATATTGTGGGTTATCATTTTAGGTATATTTATCTCATTTTATCAAATAGCTCGTATAGTGATTGAGAGTGAGGGCACATCGCTTACTGAGTACCATAGTAATGTTAAGCAAAAACGTAATTGTGGTAGACATCACCTTAGGCCACTGGTGATTAAGCACATGGCCAAATCCAATGGCTAACAGAATTCTATGGGACCACAGCTAGTTCCCAGTGTGAAAAGACTCGACTTTTACTTTTCGGTTCAGAGGCCCAGGAAGTAGTAAAATATGAAACCAAAGACTAACCTGACTTTCCCTTCCCCTGCCCTGCTATCTGACTTATACACCTAGCTCCAAAGAAGCTTACGTTCAGTTGCTCAGAGGACGAACACTGTGTAATACTGAAGGGCGAATTATCCTCTGAAACTGAAGTTAGCAAGTTACATAGAACTATTTGAGGAGACTATTTGAAGGACGGTGAAGAGAAAGATGAAAGTGTGAAGTTGGAAGTGTATGTGGCTAACCATATAATCCAAGTCTTCTAGTGCATCAACTATTTCCTGGGAGAAAGGTAGGTACTTTGGAAGAAGTCTATACTTTTAAAACAATTGATGTACCATTTAGTACTTAGAATACAGTCATTCACAAAAGTCTACCTGGAGTGTCATTGGTGTTCCAGGGTGTCTCTACTACACCTCAGGTATTTCTGATGAGAAAGTGGGACATTTGGGGGGCTCCACTTACCATGTATGTCTATTAATGTAATTTAAGGCACCGTTTTCTACTCAGTAGTTAAGTACTTTCATATAACATCATGTGATATAGTTGAGGAAGACATATGAATTCCAAATACTTCCAGAATCCCATCTTTTCCCACTTTATTTATGGTATACATCAGAGGTCAGCAAACTATACCCAAAGAACAAATTCGGCCCACTGCCTTTTTGTAAATAAAATTTTATTAGAACACTGCCATACCCATTCATTTATGTATTGCCCATGGCTGTCTTCATGCTACAACAGCACATTGAAGTAGTTGGGACAGAGATGGTATGGGCCACAAAGCCAAAAGTATTTATGATCTGGCTCTTTTACAGAAAAAGTCTGCCAATCATTTGTATATATTATACATGAGTAACAAATCTATCTACCACCAAAGATACCATAGCTTCCTTTCTTTGCAACAATCACACAATCCAGGATATATAAAATACATTTCATTAGAATGAAATCTTATTTCCAAAGAATTTAAGAAAATATCTGTTCTTCAAATTCAGTATTTAAGTCTCGGATTTCCTTCCTAGAAATAAATTCCCACTTAAAAAAAAAAATACACACATATTCGAAAAGTGTTCTTTTATTATTTCTAGTAACATATATTGTATAAATACTCTATTTTTTATATGCCCTTTTACAATCACGGTATAACTTAAGAGTTTTATCATTAAAAAGAAATGTATAAAAATAAATATGTTATTATAGGCATTTATTACATACTATAGTCCTTCTCAGAAGGAACACACAAACCAATACTTATAAAGTACATAGAATTTATAGTAACATATTTTACTATATACACATGGAAAAAGTCATCCTCTTTCATAGTAGAAGAGCTGAACAGACATTCACCAGGATATGACTGCTGGACCAGCTGCTGGGGATGGACCTGCTACCCCTCAGTAGCCTCCCCATCATGAGACAAAGGACCTCACTGTCCCCAAACACTGGGGACCCTGTTGTGCTCACCCCTTTCTTGTTCTGGCATTACTTCCTTGTTTGCTTGATCTCGCTGACTTTCTTGAGACTCAGACTGGTTTTTCACATGCACATTCCTAAGGTAGGCTTACACAAGGAGGGAAAGAAGGTGGGAGATACCGAGCTGGGGGTGCCTCCTCTGGATTTACCAGCACCCGATACATCGCTGCTGTTTTCCCCTTAGAGACTCAGTGCATTTTTACAAACACAGGACTTGTTTCTTGGTCAAAATAAATGTACAAAGACGGGAGAATGGCGCAAAAAGGTAATGATGGAGTCACTGGACATGCTCAACTGTTTTCTCCATGGTGGACATTCTTCAATTCTTAACTCTCGGTAGAAAAGATGACATAAATATTCTCTGAAACCATCGCAATCATAAACAGTGCTGGTCAAAGCTCCTCTTTGGACTCCTTTCTCCCTCCATTGCGAGTGACATAAAGTAAGCCACACCTTAAGCTAAGAATCTCATTGTTCTCTTGCTTTGCCTTCCCCAACCCCCAGGACACCACATATTGAATCAGTACCAGGGAACAGGGATTGTAACATCACCAGCAAGGTCTACTGGATCCCTCCAGCCTTCTTGATTTCAGTGCCTCAGCCCTTCCTCACCTCATCTTCCCCTCCACACTCAGCCCGCTTAACTGCACTCTGCCATGGTGCAAAAGTCTATGTAATGTTTAGGCTTCTTTAAAGGATCGCAGCTCTCGTGGGCCAGCACCCCCCCATCGTGGGCCAGACACTGCAAGGTCCTCTTTTTGTAGCCCTTCCCACAAGTCTTGGAACAGGGGGACCAGTCCCCCAGCTGCCAGTGGGGGCAGGGAAGGTCCGCGCAGGGGCGGGTGCTGGCTGGCTTCACTTCCTTGGCACACTCCGAGGCAGGCTGCCCGTTGAGGTCTCGGCACTCCACCCGTCTCCTCTGCACCCCCTGCCCACAGGACTTGGAGCATTCGCCCCACTCTTCGATGACCCACTCTGAGAAGGTAGGGATGGCATTGAAAGGCTCCTTCTTCTTCTTCACGAAATAGGTGTATTTAATTTTCGGCCGGAGGGCATTGCCCACTGTGAGGACCTGGATGGTCAAGGGCTCCTTGAGGGGGCTGAAGCTGCGGATTCTTTCCAGCGCCGCAGAGGAGCCGCTGTACCTCAAGGCCGTGCCCTTGTACGTGATGTCCTGCTCTAAGGTGGACAGGGTGAAGTCGCCGTTCAGGATGTATGTGCCATCGGCGGCTTTGATGGCGAGGAAGCTGCCAGTGTTTCTGGATCCCCTCTGGTTCCGTTGTTTTACTTCAATGTTTGTGGCTCCCGCCGGGATGGTGACGATGTCATGATAGCCAGGACTGCAGGCAAGAAGAGCAGATAGAAAGATTGCTCATTCACTGGCTATTTATACGGCTTAGCTCAGTGGTCGGCAAACTCATTAGTCAACAGAGCCAAATATCAACAGTACAACGATTGAAATTTCTTTTGAGAGCCAAATTTTTTAAACTTAAACTATATCGATAGGTACATTGTTATTAACTTCATTAGGGTACTCCTGAGCTGGCCTTTGCTAAAAACGTCCTCAATCTGATTGAGGTACGTTCGCTGAGGTCGACCCCTTCCAACTTTCCCATCCACACTCGTCTTGTATACTTGTTTCGTCTATCTCCTTTCCGAAAACCAACTTCTGTGCATGGGCCATGAAGTTTCAATCGCCCTGTACGTGCGCGCCCGCACGTGGTATTTTGTAGAAGAGCCACACTCAAGGGGCCAAAGAGCCACATGTGGCTCACGAGCAGCGGTTTGCCGACCACTGGCTTAACTAATCATTTAGAAGACAATTTTTACCAGACCTGTACAAAGGAACATCTAAATGATAGGATCTTTGGGAGTACGGCATTTTCAAACTTACTTTGAACTGGTAGCCGATCCTGATATTTTCTTGCATGTGGATCCATTTCCTCCACAAATGCCACATTTGTCAAATTTCTTTTTGGAGTCTATGATGCGATCACAACCAGCTTTTACACACTGTCCTTGCACGCACACAGAGGTGGAGTCGGGGCTGCATGGAGTACCATCTACCACCTGAGAAAGGAAGAACAGGTATCTGGTGTCACACACTAACCAGGGACGACATGGAGCTGTAACTACAAAAGTTTCCCTCATTAACATCACATCTCTGATTTCCTGACCATTGCAATAAAACGGTACTCTATACATGCCATGTACTACCCTTCTCTGTCTTTTTTCCCCATAGTACATACAGACATCTGAAAAAATCACACATTTTTTATTATTTGTTTATTGACCTATCTTACTTCTACCTAAGATCAATGAAAGCAGATTTTTTTGTCAATTTTTCATGGCTGTATCCTCAGGATAATGCCTGAATAAGTAGGTGCTGAATAAATCACTTACTAAATATTGAATTTGCAAGTGGGGAATATTTTTATGGCCTACAGTGATAATGACACATGAGATTTCAACCAAATTCAATACCACATTCTACCTCAGCCAGTTTATCCCCTAAGTACAACAGTAATATGATGCTTTTGCTAGTTCCATGTATGTTCTTAAACACAAAAGGTATCAAAGCTCAGACTTCCATTTTAGTAAGTCTGTTTGCACATGCTCCTGCTAGTCAACCAGTAACAAGTACTTTGGACCATGCCTGGGCTATTTTCCAAAACTACTGGTTGGCTGCCATGCTAATACATCATTGATCTGGCCTAGTAAAGGGCTCTTGTTTATAAGAATAATAAGAAATTGCAAGAATCCTCAGTGCTAAATTCAGCTTCATTCATCACTCTAAACAATACCAAACAAATCTGGCTGAGGTATGCCTAAGAAAATGAAGTCTAATTTGAAACTGAACATATTAATATACAAATTAAAGAAAGTGCCTATGGGTTGTATGAAAAGGTAGCAAGCCAAGGCCTTGGGTCTTAGGCAAAAAGTAAGTGGAAAAGTTACTACCTTGGGCTGCAGAACGAAGAAGTAGCCAATGCCTTTGGCTTGACAGATGAGCTTGCACCTGTCCTTTGGGGAGACCCCAGCGTACTTGGGTGTCCACTCCACTGCGGGCCCACTCCCAAAGGAAGCTTTGGAGAACTCGTTGTGTGCCTCGCACTGCTCCTCTCTAAAGGTTTTGCCTGGAAAGAGAAGGATAGAACGGCGTTATCAGTCTCCATCCCTTCACTGCCTCTTGGGGGGCACGGCTTTTTTGCCCATTTTCACTCACCGTTGTTGTCTGGACAGTCCTCAATGTTACATGATCTGTAGCGCACACGCTTGCCTTCACAGTACTTCCCTCCGTTCTTGGGGACTGGGTTGTCACATTCCCTCATTGTGTACTGAACGCCTCCACCACAGGTTCTCGAGCAATCTCCCCAGGGTCCCCATGGCCCCCAGCTTCCATGAACAGGAGTCTACATGGGGACACAAGTCATCAGATTAGAATTCTCTACAGAGACCTTCTTAGGGAATAAAAGAGAAAAATACGAGATAAAGAATCAATTACAAAAAGAATCTATCTTCCCGGCCCGAGAACAGAGTTGGGGTGTTTAACGTGCCATCAGACATTTTGGCATCACTCTATTCGATTCCGAATTTGAAAGGAGCATGCGCATGAGTAGGAAACTCACATCAAAATGCTTCTTGTCGGTCTTGTTCACACACTTGCCGTTGACACACCATTTCCCTTCGCCACAGCTGGTGCCGTCCGCCCAAGGGAAGTGTTTGGTTTGGCACACCAGCAGCCCCCCGGAGGTGCCTGTGCACCAGAGGGTGGTGCACGTGCTGGCTGCATCAGGGCAGTGTTTGGAGTCTTCCCCAAACGTAAATTGGCACTGCCGGTTGGCATCATACAAGGTCCCAGGAAGGTCAGAGGGGAGCTGCATGGGGCTCTGGGGCTTGTCCAGCAAACATTCCCCTGCAAAAACAAAATAAACAAAAAACCCAACTATTAACCACTATTAATAAATAATAAATGAAAGCATGTAGGGGGTAGATCAATTCCAGCAAATATGTGTCATAAGAGATAATATATAGCAAAGCTAGTTGAAAGCTGTCAAACTTTTGGAGAAGATGCCAGGGAAATTTAAATGAAGATAAATTGAAATGAAGATATTATCTTCACTGGGGTATTTCTGCATTAACAATGACAGGAAATGACTGTTCTGCTAAAAATTCAAATTCATGTATCTTTTATTGGAATTAAGATCTAAAAAGGCATGCGCTTGGCAGTGAAAGTAATCTTGAAGGAAAATATCAAGAACAAAAAAGAAAAAATGAGCCTGTTTAATGAGAACTTTACATACAGGAGGTTGGATGCCATGTGGAAAGAGTAGTTGGAGCGTCTTACCATGACCGTTATCCAGAAATGAGGTAATCATGTAGGCGCTGCAGGGAGACCAGGGCTGGCTGCGGTCCAAGTTGGAAAGCATGGACGCCATCAAGTGGGAATCCCGGTTGACATTAATGCTGGCACATTGCTTCGCATCATCGTGTGGCATGTTAAACACGTGGCCTAAGAAGCAATCCGAAACTCACATTAAAATATAAGTAAATGTGCAGCATTTTATTCCAAATAGGGATATTTCTAGAGAAAAGAAACATTTCTAGTGTAAACAAACATGTACAATCTCCAAATGTCCATAGCTCCAATGATCTGATTGGTATTCTAATAAAGATGATCATGTGTAGAACAATTAAAACATATTTTCTGCAATTTCTAGAAAGCCCTGGCAAATAACACAGCAATATAACCTACAGACTCTCTCTCTCTCTCAAATTAATATCTTGTTTTTCAGTTTGCATTCACAAACTGAGCTTAGCTCTTACTCTAAAACAGACTCACCTAATTCATGGGCTGTGGTGAAGGCAGCTTGTAAGCCATCATCTTCTATGACAGAGCAGCTTCTGCTGGGATCACAGACAGTTCCGACATCAGCCATCCCGAGGGTGTCACATGTCTGGGTGCCACACAGGTCCTACAAGGACAAAGGTACCTCCTGATTAATAGGGACATCCCATGAACTTTGGGATCTGTCGGGGCAAGGTGTATCTTCACATATATCTTGGAGCATCTACATTCATTGTTGCTGAGCTGTCCTTTTAGGAGTACTCTGTGTGACTTGCATCAATATTTCTTCCTAATGCTATTCAAACAGGACTGTGCAACTTGAGCTATTAAAATCGTAGAAGAAATTAGGAGATGGGCTGACCACCCTAGCCAATTAAAAAAATGCAAGTGCCAAAAACTGGTGACATGCCTTACCGACATTTGTCACCAAGTGGACTCCCCAGGGGACCCTGTCATACTTAGCCCTGTCTTCCTCTCACCTGCCTGGTGAAAAGAATCGCCGTGTCATAGTGTTCGGCATCTCGGTCACTGGGCGGGTTGTGCTGTTTCTGCCAGTTGCAGAAGTTACGCAGAGTGAGGGCCGCGTTGGAAGTCACTTCTGGTCCCTTTTGTTCCTCATAGATGACCAGGATCTTCACGACCACCAGGCTAACGGAATTGCGAATGCTGGGGTGCTTGTACAACCTGGCGGCCACCGAGAACAAGGTGAGCAGGTAGTTCTTGAGGCCACTGCCGTGGAACTCTGCCATGGACTGGTCAGCCACCAGCATGGTTTCCACATAACGGGGGCTGGACACAAATCGCTTCTTTCTCACGCTCCCACTTCCTGGAAAGGAATAAGAAAGATAGTTTGCTCAGGGGCAGTCCAGCCGAGAATAATCACCTCCCCAGAGTATATAAGGAAAGTCTAACCAGTCACAGCAAATAAAACAGAAATACACCCAGGGCAACAATAACAAAAATATTTGCATCGCCGTTCACCAAAAATGTTATTTTTAAAGTTTTCTCCTTTACTTGAAATAAAATGGCCATTTGCTCCTCTGAGGGGTCAGGCTTTGTTTTTAAAAAATATATTTGTTAATTTTTTATTTTTATTTTTTTTGGTGAGCGGGATTTCTTTTGTCCTGCAAATCCTACCATCAGAATAAGGCAGTATGTACACCTTCCTCCCCAGCTGTAGTAAAAAACTTGGAGCAAGGGCAGCAGGCAGAGGCCCTGAGTCACTCTTTCACAGGCCAGGGCTCAAATCCTGAATGAGATCATCGGGCTCCACGTGGAAGGCCCAGGGCAGGGCTGGGGCCTCTGCCAAGGGGCCGGCCTCCAGGAATCTCTCAGCCTGCACTGCTCTGCAATCTCATTCCAGGGGTCCCTGGGGTGCGCTGCTCCTGCCAAATCCAGGCAAAAAGACCACCCACCCTGCCCAGCAACCTATTGCCCCACTCCAGCTGCCCCAGGGAATTAAGTCCCTGCCTCGGATTTAGTCCAGGGCCCTTCAACTCCTGAAACTCAGCCCCCAGGGAAATGGGCTGTGTAACCACATAACCGCTTTAAGGAGCAGATGTGCTGGGGGAAAGTGGAGAAATTCTCAAACAAGACATGCGAGGAAGTTAAAGAAGAGCAAAGGCACCAAAGTGAGAGGATGAGAAGAACTGGACAGTAAGCACTCCACACAACAGAGAGGCAGGGGAAGGAGAAGCAGGATTAGCGGTGACTAACGTTCAACAGAGAGCAGAATTATGGCCGCGAGAGGGAGCGAGCGCAACCTGGGATGCCGGGTGGGAGGCGCGGGGAGGCGGGGCCAGCAGGGCAAAGACCTCCCAAGCAGGTTCTGCAGAAAGCCCCGGCCGCCGCTAGTCGTCGGGGTCAGCCTCTTGAATGGGGAAGGGGACCGAGGGCGGCCGCACAGAGGTCGCAGCGCAGCCGTGCAGTCTCGAGGGCTGCCCATTTCGAGGTCACCAGCGGCCCCGTGCCCTCCATCCCCGCCCTCCTCTGCGCACAGGGAGCGCGCACAGGCAGCGGTTACAAAACTAGTGCAAAGTTGCAACGCGACCAAAGACGCTGCACGGCCGGTGCAGCGACATGAACTGCATGGGAAGAAGTTGCACACGCTCACACTCGACTAAGGTGGAAAGAGTTGCATGACCAACTCTCCCTTCCTGGTCTAAATGCTTCGCCTTAGTCAGCAGAAAATCATTGGTTTGTCTGTCCTGTCTCGATCATTCATTATTCAGGCCAACGGAACTAAGTGTTCTGGCAGGACCTCAAGCCTCATGCTCCCCGCCAGGTCCCCGTCCTGCCTACAAACTGGAGTTTACTCTTAAGTCGAGTCGCGCAGAGAGTGGGGAGAGGGGGATGAATGGAGACACAAGTGAGAGTCATTCTTCTGAGACTGATACCTGTTGGCTGCCCCGAGCTCTGCGGCGCGGGGTCCCTCGGCCGCAGCTGTGCCCCGGAGTCCTC